AACAAAAAAAAACAAAACCTTTCTGTGGAGAACCAATAATAATTTTAGTGACAGTCTTATAGAATTCCTCATTCTGCCTTCAGTTTTTACTTCCTTGTTACATCCCTCCCAGAAACATCCATCAGTTTCAACATGATCTTAACAGCTGTTAATTTCCTGTAATTTCAGATATTCAGAAACTGGTAATTATTTGTGCCTAGAATGGTAGAAGCATCATGAGCATATTTTGTCTGAAGGTCAGGTTTGAAAATTGCTGGTGTGGTATACTATCATATGCTACCCTGTTTGTTGACATAGCTATTAAAATTAGACCCAAATTAAAAGGGGCAAAAAAGTCAAGCATGTGATGTGATTAAGCATGTCATTTCGTAGCTTTCTCATCATGTGTACACACATAGCATATATGCACTGTATATGGTTCTGGAATGTGGTTTCTAGCTTTCCAGATATTTTTTAACTATGTGCCATGGTTTTTGAAATTTGAAGCCAGACTCAAATTGTTTTCTTGCTGATTAGAAAAGTTCTAAGCTGATCAGCTGTCAGATTTTTTGAAATCTCATGATACTCTGACCTTTGCCATTATGGTCTTCTGGTACTTACTGTTATACAGAGAAATCTTTATGCTTTGGTGTATTTGTCTGTTACTTTAAAAATCCTGCATTACTGTGTGCAAGTGTATATTAAAAAAAAAAAAGGTGAAATGTTGGAAAACAATGTTTTAAGTTTTGTTCTGTTACAGATGTTTTCCTCAATACATTAGCAACTTCTTGCCTAGCTTTTGTATTAGAATAGGCTTTGACGTTTGATAGTTTGTTGAAGTGAAATGTGTATTTCTTTTTTACTTAGAAAGAAATGCTTTTTGCTATAACCTGCTGTGGTTAAAGAATATGTTGTGACCTGGTTTCAAATTATATCAGTTCTTACTGATGATATGAAGAATATCTTCAAGCGTTTTTTAAAATTCCAAGGGAGTAGCTTACCTACTGGTGCATTCCCACTAAAATTAATCTTGTAATGTTTAAATAATTGGAAAAAGAGCAAAATTGCCTTGAAACTACAGTTGTGACAAATCTGCATCTATCTTGGAGGATTGGCTGTTGAGACCAATTATTCTCATTTGATTTCAAGCTTTACTCTCCGGTAAGACCTGAGTAGATCTGCAGGAGTGTTTTTACTAAAAGTTCCTTCCCAAGGCATTTTTACTAATGCAGAAGTCATATGGGACAGAAGTAACTTAATTTGCTTGTATTACTATTTTAAGGTTACCAGGTAATAATTTCTGAAAGGATCTTTTTCTGCTGTTGCTGGTATAAAATCTTAGTGCTATTCCTGGTTTAAAAGGCATAGAAAAATCTACCGAAAGTCTGCAGTTCAAGATCGTGACTGTGGTGTATGCCAGGCAGGGGGATTAATCATAAGGTCCATTTCCTATTAGGGGTAAAAAAGGGGTGTGGTAGTGCTTTCTTCAGTGTAGATGTAGAGATCCTGAAGTTTTGCTCCCCTAAAATGCTTTCTAGAAGAGTGCAGAGAATCAAGCCTGCCACACAGTTGTATTTGGCATTGCAGATCCCCTCTGGAGAAGTATCAGCATTCATTGTGATGAGCCGTGTTTGGAAGGTCATAGGTAAAATGAGCTTATAAGGAAATTTCGGCTGCGGTTTCAAGGATGAATGCTTTACCATTTAGAGGTTACTAGGTTTACCCTTATGCAGCCAAATATCAAATGTGGGTGTGTAGTTTTTTCACGACTGTCTTAACATTCTAAGATAAAACTTAAATAAGGTGGTTGGGTTTTTTTTTTGTGTAGTCTTTGCAATGAGAATAGAGATGCAAAAGTATAAATTGTTTTCTTATTACCACAGCTCACTCACCGTGGTCAAGGTAAAGATGTCCTTCCACATTTAACTAGGGGGAGAAATAAAAATATTTTTCGGTTTGCTGCAGCAACAGGTGTGATGTGCTTTCAGAGTTCTAGAAATGCAAGTGAGAGCAGCGCATTGTCAGTGTGCAAGGATTAAGAGCTGTGCAACACCAATAAAAATGTTCAGCATTTGGTCCTCATTTACACAGTGTGGGGTATGTTGTCAATGTTGCATCACTGGTCCAACTAAAGTAGCCAAATAAATGTGATATTTTGCCTTAGAATAAAAACCCATTCTTACAGGGAGTCTTATCATGGAGTTCTGATTATTTGAGATTGCACAATGAAACGATTGAGCCACTTCTTGAGAAGTAAAATTTTTATTTAACTAAGCAGTACTACCTTGTGAAATATGTTCTTATAGCTGTTTTTCAGGAGTTATATCCAGAAACAGAAAAGCTGAAAACAGGTTACTGAAGTATTCATATGATGAATATTCAGCTACTTCAGTGGTAATGGTTGCAACAGACTTTGGAAATATATGTGAAAACTGTGTTTCAGATTTAGTAGAGGTTAAACTTTTTCAAGGTCTGTTTGGTTAAATTTGGACTGATAGTACAAGAATGGTGAAAGTTATATCCTTCCCAGACAGACTGCTGCTGAGTGTCCAGCGAAGTTAGCTTGATGCTACATATGCCTCTAAAAAAAGTGTGAGTGAAAACATTTAACTTTTAAAGTATTTTACCCTGCTTAGGAAATTCAGCCTGAAAGCTAAGAACTGGTAGAGTTACAAGCATTTTAAAGTAGTAAATTATTGTAGAGTATGAACCAACCTGAAAAAGAGATACTATGCTTTCCCTTCTTGTAATCTTAAATCAGCAGCATACAATTAAGTCGTCTCTTTCAATAGCACAGCATGTGTACAGTCTGAGCTTTCTGGATTTATTTTATAATAATGTTTAGCTAACATCATCCTACAGCTTTAAATTGGGGAAGACTCAACTTTTTACATGTCTAATATATAAGATTTAATTTAAAGGCTGAGTGCAAGCTAATTTTACTTTTGGGTTTCTGCAAATTACACCTTTCACTGACTGTGCTGAATAAACAACCACTGTTTTTGTAGCAGGCAAGAGATCCTTGTGGTAAAATAAGATCTCTTCCAAGGAGAGGAAATCTGTCGGTTGAATGAACTAAAGCTGTCAGAAGTGTTCATTAAAGGAATGTTTTGGAGGGCATTTTCAGCTTTTAAATTTACTTGAACTGTTTTTCTGTCTACTTACCATAGAAAAAAAAGAACAGATTATAAATAGTCTGAATTTTAAGCATTTGCAATTAAAAAGCATTTGTATGCTCAATGAGGTCTGTACGATATTTGTAACAAACAAATATTCCTTATATGAAGAGCAATTTCATAATTATCATCGTTTATATCAGATAAAATTCTTGGCATTTGGGAATGGAATATACTGGGACTAATGCCCCACCTACCCAACCACCCCTGCAGCCCCAATTAAGTATTGGTGAGAGTTGTTGGCTTTGATTGCTGACCAAAGATTTAACTGCAACCCTTGCAGCCCTGTATCATCAGTGAAGCTTTATCAGCTCCGGGGAATGTGTTTTGAAAGCAGAATGCTATTTTCTCTCCTCTGAATTACAAATGAGATTTTGCATTGCTGTTGATATCAACTAATTTACCATCACAATAATATTATTCTTTCAGCTATTAGGGTTTCTTCTGTTAAATAGGGGCAAAGTTCTTTAAAATCCTGAAGGCACATGCAAGGTGTCAAACAAATACATTGGTTACAGTTCAGAACAGCATATTTAGGTTTTGTGTAATATCAAATTAAATTAGGTAAGCTGTGTGGCTAAGTACAATTAATAAATTTTATATACTAGAAAGAAAGCTTTAGTTTTGGAGACTGGTACCTGAAGCAAACATTTTGTTTCTGGTTTTGGAAGTATCTTGTTTTGATGCAGTGGGGTATGACCTTTTGTTGGAAAAAGGTTGTAAAGCATTTTCTAATCAATTTCTTTAATTACATATTAATTCAAGTGGAAATTTAATATCTAGAAGGTAGAAAATTTAATATACAGAGTATCAAAAGTTTTATATACATATAGAGGAAGGGAAATGTGTGTGTCCTAAGAGCAGCCCAAGTTTGGGTGTTGGGAAGAATACACTTGGAGCTGATTTCTAGCCTTTGTTTTATTACGTCAGCAGAAAGCTGTGTTGGAGGGAAGCTGCTAATGTTCAGTGACTTGGTCCTTCTCTTAATTAGTATGTGTGAACACTTGTTCAGATATCAGTCACTCTGAATTGGAGCAGGGGAGGGGTCTCCCAAGTGTCAAGTCATGATTTTAATATCAGGACTTTTGATTTTTGCTATTTAAGTTCAAAGTATCAAGACATATTTTTGTTTAATTAAGTTCTTTGAATATTGAGGTTGAAAGTAAAATAAGTACTGAGCAATTTAGTTGTCTTAAGCTGATCAGTAATTATATACAATTAATTTTTCTTACATTAGGAACAATTTGCCTAAGTATTTTACAGAAGGTAGGATATGCAGATCCTAAGGAATTCTCTACATGACTAAGACATCTTATGTTTAATATTTAGTTCACCACTTCATACTGAAATGATTATTTGTTGCAAAAATCCCTCTGCTGCCAAACCTAGAATATTTTCAATTTTTGTGTAGCTTCTTGGAGTAAATCTTAAATCTTAGACCAGTAATATGAAGTCAGATTTTCATTGAAAGTAATACCAACATTTTTAAATAAATTGTTAAATAACTAATCAATTTTCACATTAAAGCAAGACAATGTCATTTCACATATTTACAATTAAGGGTTGAATTAACCTGAAAAAAGCATAAGCTTTTTAAGTGAAAAAGCTTATATCTTGTCATATGTCTGGATGTTTTTTTAACCAGCTTTAATGACTGTTTACATAAAGTATGCTGGACTTGAACAAAGATAAATATGCTTTGCAAGCACAGACATCTGCTTTGGTGAATGTGTGTTTGAAAAAAACACCGTCACAGTGGAAAAGCTTTCTAAAATAGGAGAACAGGGAAAAAAGAAAGACAGGAAAACTGTAGACCTGCATTTTGCAGGAGCAGATTGTGCAAAGTAATGATTAAAAAGTAATGTTTTATTTTTCTGGAACTCAAGCACTGAGAAGTTTCTACATGATCACTTGAGCACTGTGGGGTATTCTTCCTCAGTCTATAGGTCTGATCATCATTTGAACTGCTTTCAAGGAGTAGGAGCCTCCCCGGTACTCAGCCCAAAATACTCCATCCTGATACTTGCTCCTGTAGTGGCCTCCTCTGTACCACACCCCATTAAGGTTGGAGTGGGCACACGCATTGTACCACCAGCCGCCTTTGTGAAAATGAGCGCAGTTGCCTGTGGGACAAAAAGAGATGAATGAACTTTAAAGAGGAGAAATGGAGATTAGCAAATGCTTTCACGTTCTGGCTTATTCTTAGAGTGAACTTTGAAATACTTTATAACCTGTTGTGGTCATAGCAATTGCTGCTTCTACCTAGACTATAAATTCTGTTGTAACAACAGCCAGAGAGGATTATTGACATCTTCTTTAATGTGTCAGCTGAAAACTAAAGAGATCAACTGTAGACTACCAGCAATGCTTATCCATGAGCTAACATTCAAGGAACTTGGAATATGTACTGTTTAGAAATACTTCAGTGGAAGCAACGTGAGTTGATACAGTTCCAAGCAGCAGGCTACGCTTAGGCGTAGCTTACGCAGTTCCACAAAGAGTTGCTTGTAACTTGTGTATTTACTGTTACAGGCTTGTTTAGGAGTTTGCAAGATTTGTCCAGCTTTATGGTTATTGACCACTGAAAAAAAAAAAAAGGCAGCTTGAAGTACTACACTCCCCAACCTTTCTTTTAGTGCTAGGGTTTTAAGAGGAAGGCTGGAGTAAGAGAATTGAAATGAACAAAAAACTGTCCTTCAGAGAGAATGAAACAAAGTGATCTGCCCATTTCTCAAGTATTGGTGCATAACTAAGCCAGTGCACAATTGCAGCTCCTTTTATGCTGCTCAGACGCTTTAGTTTGTGGTGATAAAATAATTCCATTATGTGGCCACAGCGCTACTTTCAGAGATCACCTGGACAGATAGTCAGGCTACAAAGTCACATGCAAGTGATAAGGGTGTGTCATAGAGCTAAATAGAAAGCTGGCTCAAGTGTGCTTGTAATGGAGGTGATAGAAATTGAATTTTTCAATGGCTCAGAGGGTTGCAGGAGCCCTGTCAATGCGATTTCATAATCGATTTGAAGCATCTTTCAATAAAGTTGTTTTATCAGAATTTACATACTTTTTTGTACTTTATTTTTTAAAGGTGGTATCACAAATGTAATCTGCTGTATTCTCTTTTTACATATGTACCAGTTTCCTTACCTGAATACATATCCCTGTCTCTGTCCAGTGTTGTAAATTGCTTTCCGTTATGCCATATCATGGAATCGCCTGCGTTTCCTTGATATGTGCCTAAGCGTAGCCTGTAGAATTCACTTTCAGGTTCCAGGCGGAAACTGCTGTATTCTGCATAAACCTTCTTGTTGCTCCAGTCCTCTAATTCAATCAGTAGTCTGTAGTTATCCTGATTGGTAAGCATGTAAATATTTTCTAGTCCCAGCCAGTACTCTCCATCAATGTTTCCAAATCCTTTCTGTGCAAAAGAAAATCGGAAGTGGTGTTGGTTTAGGTTTTCTTGTTTGTCAAACACTCATCAGCAGGAGTATTCCAAACCGGTAGAACTAGGGTACTGAAAGCCTTTTAAGCTTCTGAATGTCTGCTCAACCCATGCATTTAAATGCTTTATTTTGCTGCACTTGGCCATTTATTCAGTTAGACTGCTAGCTGCCTGAGGTACTGCCAGAATCAGTAAAATCTTTAAGATTTCTTTTCTCTTTTTAAGGTAAAGGGTGATAGAATAGGGAAGCTGAAAGAACAAAAACTTCTTGATAAAGCTAAGAGGATCTGTAAGAATATATGAATAATGAAATTTAAGGGGGTATATTTCCAGGTTGGAAAGGATATTACGATACCAGCAGTTTCAGTGTTCAATGTAAATGACTTTCTGTTGCCTTTTTAATACAATTACTGTTAGTTTTTTTTACTGTAAATTTCATCACGCAATTCATCTATGATCTTTACTAGATTTGGAAATATAAAGATGTCCTTCTTTTCAAATCATGAACTACCAGTACACTAGCTGTGAAGTGATAATTTCATATCTGCTGTTTCCTGTCCCTGAGTAAACAAGTGTTGTTAGTGTTTGTTGCAGCTAAAGTAGGTACATTATCCACCACAGCAATCTGTTATGTGTCCTAGTCTGTGAGGTCTTCCTACCCTTGTTCTCAGGACATTGATTATGTACGACCTACAGTTGATTTCTTGCTTTGAATCACTTTCTGAAGAAGTCTCTCTCTAGCAGATAAACAGCAAAATTAGGAGCCTAGACGCTTCTAATTCAAGCTGCAGTTTCACGAGTGGCTTGAGCTGATCTAGCAGCATGCTGCTGCCAAAAATGGTAGCAGTGCTTTTGGCCTGGCTCATGGCCACGTTTGCAGTACTTCCCTTGGGCCAACATTGTAGCTGCACAGCCACACAGTGGTCAGAAAAGAATCGGAAATGTGGGCATGAGAGACATTTCTGTTGTCAGTGTTGCAGGTTTTAGTTTAAAGCCAGTCACAGAGGTGCACCTTCAGATACTTGAAATTAGGTGAATCTTTGGCCACTGCAATTTAATGAGAAATCTTTTGGGGGCAAATTTGCCCAAGCTTGAGCAATTATCACCATTTACACACTCTTACATTTTCTTTGCATTTTGTTGAAAATATTCATGGTTAATTTATAAGGCACTCTGTAACTGCCTCATAACATTAAAAAAAAAAAACAAAACAAAACAACTGAAAACGCAACCACTTTTCTGAGAAGTAGACTGAATAACTACTGCTAAATAATTAACATTTGAATCATTACATTCCAAGAATGCAAAAAGTGAAAATCCTCATTGTAATTTTTTGTCAGCTCCTTTGTATATATTGTACTGTTTTAAGATTACCAGTTGAGTTAAAGATGGCTCAGTTCTGTCTTCAGATAAAATGCACATGGCAATTGCAGATCCACTACAAAGCATAGTGAGCGCAACATCATATGGAAAAACTATCTTGTATGTATGAAGTCAGTAGGTTTCATACCATCCAAACCCAGGTAGGTTTCAGATCCAACCAAATGGACTTCTAGATCTCCTGTCTAGCATGTGTTCAAGGTCAGGTTGGACAGAGCCTTGGGTGGCATGGTTTAGTGTGAGGTGTCCCTGCCCATGGCAAGGGGTTTGGAACTAGATGATCTTAAGGTCCTTTTCCAACCCTAACTATTATGCTGGAGCATAATATCCCAGTAACAAATAAGAATGTATTCCCCTTCACTAGCCCTACATCTTCAGATTTCTAACCTAATTTTACAGGTAGAAATTATATCCATTAATGCTTTATTAGGAACTTTTTGAAGTTGAAGACCTGATCCTGCAAATCTGTTAATATGCTTAAATGAGTATTTCCACTGCCTGGGACCCCTTATTCATAAGGGAGACAATTAAGCTTTTAAGGTACTTGCTGTAGGTCTCAGTGTGTTAATAAAAATAATGTGTTTAGTTAGGTCTTTGTAATAAACTACTTCCTGGTCACTGTCTAGAATAACGTGTCTCCCCAGTTGTTGGGTTGTGCATTACAAATGCCGGCTATTTAAGACAGTAAGTTTATACAGAGTTCAGTAGTGCATTGTGAAAAGGGTCATTCCCACTGAAACGTGTTTGCCTCTGAGGAATGACCACTCTTTCTAGTTACCTTTGTTGATAAAATTAATTTTACTGTCTTAAGCAGCTATCTGTTTGCGGTTCCTCAGTGTTTATCATTCAATGCAACGGTTTGTAGTGAAGAATTGCATTTGAAAAGTTTGCATCATCTTGACTGCAATAGAAATATCAGTGAAATGAAGTAGCTGATTTTCTGCATTCCAGAAGTTACCTTGTAACTGTCCCAGTTCCTGAAGAAGTTGACAGATCCATCTGTCCTCTTCTGAATAACTGCCCATCCTCCAGGGTCCAGGCTGTTCTCACACCATAGCTGCATTGGCTCATTGCTATTTTCAGGTTTGATCATATAAATCCCGCTGTTGGAATGCCCAGCTTCCTTGGCTTGTTGGCAATCTTTGAATGGACCTTTTTGAAAGAAATACTGTAAGCATTCAAGCTTGGCTGTGCAGTGGACATAGTTCAAGCATATTTTGTAATGGTAATGGAAAGTCAGTAATTAAGGTAAAACTGCCATGGAAAATAGTGTAAAAAGTTACTGTCTTAGATAAATTGTATATATGTAAATAAACATGTCAATACTCCATATATATTTAAACAAAAACTTGATTTTGCTAAACAGATAATTACTTTGGTTACCAACACATTTTTTAACTTCATCTATGGTGTTCTATTGTGATCTATACACTGATATTTAAGAAGTGCATTATGATTTTTACTATTTTCTCCTTCACTTTTCTTCTCCTCTCTTTATCTTTTGTAAAAGGTAAATCTCGGTTTACTTCATTGTGCTCTCATCTGAATAAATGTACATGAATATTAGTGTATCCATTTGAAACTAGTGGAAGTTTGAAATAGACCCAGAACATGAATGACACACATGCACCCTCCCAGTACAGAAATAGTTCAAGAACTGCTGTAAGAAATATTTGCTGCCAAAGTCTAAAGATGTCGACTTTAGTGTAAAAGTATTCATACGCTGTATAATTTTTTTGCCTTTACGTGCTTACCCAGTTATAGGATCAGCCTATTAACTGGGGATAGGAATCTTTTAAAAGTTTCATGTGTCATCCTGATGTGCTATGTGTATGTCAATATCAGTCAAGCAAATACGCAAGCAATGGAGAAGGACTTTTGAGCAGCTAAAAGGGTTCACATCCTTTTTTTCAGGGCTGTGATTCTACAAAAATGCTATTGCTGTTAACAGTACTGCTTGAAAGCTCTATTTTAGGCCATGTGAGTAGTGGCTTTACAAATACTACTTACAGAAGAGCATCTGGTTATTTTGCAGCTTGCATATTTCTGAAAATTTTGCCCAGTTTGCCTTTCAATTTTTGGTAGTATTTTTATTTTCTATCTTTTAAAAAAAGGATTTATGTTCACGTATCATTACTTCAGTTGATTTAGAGACTGGTTATTTACTAATGAAAAGCAGGGTGTGTTCTGATGGCTAGTTAGTGGTCAGCACCCTAAGTGCTTTGAAAACTCATACTCAGTAAATCTGAACTTAAATTACCTAGAGCTTTCCTCTCATTTTAGGAGGTTTTCTCAAATCTACTTGGAAGTTTAGAGAAAACTCATCAGTCAGAGACAAAGCTAATGTGCAAAGAAACATAGGAGACAGTTACTGAGTTTATTCTTTATTGCAAAGTAGAGGTTGAGTGAAGGTGATCTTCACTGCAGATTGAGATTGAAAATCATGAAAGTTGCCATTGGGATAAGTGTTTAATTAGCAGAAATCCAGAAAGTACTTCATATTAGAGTGCAAAAAGCTTGTGTATCTAATGAAGGTGACTACTAGGAGATTCTGGCTGAGACAGTGCTACCAGGAGCACTGCAGGCATTAAGCCATCCTAAGTACTGCTGCTTACATATTCTGTACTGTCAGTATTTATCAATGTTTTTGTCGTTCTTGCAGTGCATACAGTAGTAGCTTAGGAAAGAAATACTGTAGCTTCAGTATATGAGGGATTTTTCTCTTGCTCACAGTTAAAATTTCCATGTAGATTGTGTGCATTGCAAAGCTTACCCAGTGGGTAATTTCCTTGGCTAAGTTGGTTCTCACTCTCTCTCTTTGAAATACGTGAAGTAAATTTGGATGCTGTATAAATGAACAGGGAGGTGTTTCTAGAAGTATTGTTGTAAGCAGTTTTTCCATTAGAAAAAGTGTAAGCAGGAAAGTAGTGATCTTTGTAATGTTCGTTGAATAGTAAGAATAGTTCAGTTAGATCTACTGTGTATTATTTCACATGATTTCTACTGAGGAGGAATTGGGGGTTCATTTTTCCGTAAGACGTCGAAACAGATGTTTGGAGCGATTTTAAGTAGCTTTTAAGGCAGAGAGAATTGTGCTGCCCTGATTATATAATACACTTTTGGTCACTTCTGAATTTCAGCTGGCACTGAGGTCTCAGGATGCATCTCATATGCTTTTTGATGCTCAGATTTGAGTATGTGCTTATCACAAATTAATGTTGGACTAGAGGTAACAGACTTCTGCTCTCAGTATAAGGAAATCCAAGAAATCGAGTGACTTTCAGTGTATAGCCTCGAGTCACTTTCGAGAAGTTCTTTTGTTATATGTAATTCTTTTTTAAGTTCATGGTGTAAGAACTGAACCCTTTTCAGTGGAAATACTGAGATTCATGAAGCAGTGTAACATTCTCCACAATGCTGGTATGAGTGGACACTCTGGCTAATGAAAAAAAACCATAATTTTTCTATTTAAAATATTATTACCTATGCAAGGAATAAGTATCTCATGCATATCTAGTCTTTTGTAACAGTCTGTGTAAACTCTCAAGTTGCTGAGACAGAAATGGGAGATTCTCTGAGAAGATGTTAAATATTACATGTTTAAAATTGTGGTTTTGACTTATGATTTAGTACAGATCATATTCTATTGTAAATTAGATGTAGTAGAGAAGGAAAGTGATTAAATATTTTTTAAGTTGGAAGCTTAATAAAATTATGACTGAATCTTCTTAAAGATGCCAGACGTTACCTTGAGCAGATGATATAGAAGCTTTGCTTATTTAAAACTTTGTATAGAGAATTTTTGGGGCAATAATAGAGGAAAATTCCAAAATAGAATGGGGCACATATTCAAAAAAACCCTACAACATGTTGTTAACAGGGAGGTATTAGCAACAGAGGGCTGTGTGTAACTTTCAAGTAATTTGTCTACTTAAAGCTACTTTTTGCAATGTAGTGGCAGTAAAATTTGGGGATGCTGGCTATTGTTTGATGGACTAAGAATTGTGAAAATTATAGTTCACAGGAACATTATTCTTCCTCAGTTTCTAGAGCCAGTTGTTTATCCTGTCATAACCAAGCCTGACAGATCTATTTCTAAATAGGTTTGTTTGGTTTTCATTGGTCTTATTTGACGTCTTTATAAATAGTCACCATCTTTTAACTGGAAAATTAATTTCTCTGTGACATAGTTTTGGTTCTGCGCACCCTTCAACGTGCTTACCTTAATTTAAAATATCAAGGAGAATAACTGGGCTTTGTGTTGCAAGTTAGAAGTTTTGGTTTTGATGACTGATGCTGTATCAGCTGTAGCAATTCTGAACCCTCATTTCCCCAGAGAAGAAACATTTAAACTTCAAACTTGGGAATCTAATATTAAATAAAGGAAGTTGAATAATGTTAAAAGAAATTGCCTAATATTTCTTTATGTTCCTTTACAAAAACTGTTTCAAACTGTGAACATTTGCAGTTAAAGGGGATAGTGAAAACCATGGTAGACAATTTGGAGGAAAATACTGCTGTTGCTTCATTTTGTATGTACAGCAGATATATACTGAGGGAGAAAAAGATGAATTTATACAAAACCTTAAAGCATGGTTTTATGGGAAACAGGAAGTTGCTGGGGTTTAAAGGATTACAGTTTTGCTGTTTGACCAGACATTAACATAGTGCCTTTATATTAGTTGTTTCTTTTGTGTCATGGTACGTGATTTAAATTCTCGTGATACCTGGCATGTTACCTGGGTTTGTGCTGGAATTTTCTGTAGACCCTGAATAAAAATAGTTGTTCTTTGCATCAGCAGCTAGATTTTTGTAATGCTGTAGAACAGTCCCAAGTAAACATTTGTAATAATTTTAGGAACCAAGCTGAATTTCCAGCTGTGACTAAAGGCAATTTGAAAGCAAAAAAAGCCAGCCCAAACCCAACACACATACACACCTCCCCCCCAAACCCTTTTGCTGTTCAAGCTAACAGAAGCCAAAAGCAAGCACTTGAACTGCTTGAAGTCTGAGAAAAATGTATTTTTCTGAATCCTTAATTTTTTTAATTGCAATTGTGTCGAACTTATAATAGAGTAAGAATCCTGATAGATTTAAAGGCAGCTCAGAGGTAGTTAAATTTCGTCACTAGTTTTTTGTTACCTTTTTTAACCTGAAGAATGACACAGTCTCCTCAATGTGTTTTCGTAATATTTATGGTGTTAGTTTAACTTGCCATCCTCTACTGACATAAAATTACTGGCAATGTAGTTATTTAAATTTTCAAAGTTCAGTGCAGGTATCCTTTCAGACTTATCTAAGAGACCTATTGCACAGTTGTGTTGGTGGAATTAGATGTTAATTTCAAACAGCTCGGAATAGGAATAAAATCCTTCTAGCAAGATTAACTTCTGGCAAATGTATATGTGTAAGTATAATGGACAACTACTCTAAAATTATTTAAGATGAGGTACTTTATCTTATTCACCATTGCCAGTTACTTTATCATGTAGCTAATAGGCATCTTCGAAGAAACAGGGCTAAATACCAGAAAGTATGAAAGTATATGCTAATATAGAATTTTAATTCCCGTACCTCAAACCCAGCTGAAGACAGAAATGCCAGTACTTTGTGACTCAGAGGTGTAAATTCTTCAGATTGAATTTGTGAGTATCAACTATTTCAACAAATTCATCTTATGCAGCTATATCTTAACGAGTAAACTGTCAAACTAAAGCTTTCCTCGAGGCAGGGGGAGAAAATCAGAATCAGGAGCAAGGGCTAGCTGTATCAGATACTTTTTAAATTCTGCCTTCCATTTCTATAGCCAGGACAGTTTACCTCTGAGAGAAATCTTAGGTTACGTAAATAGTGATAGGTAACTCACCCTCATTTATTAAAGCCAGTGGTGGGACTCTGAAAGGACTCTTTGTAGGAGAAGTAGCTGGATCTGGTGGTGGTCTTACATCTCTGTCTCTAGGGTAACCTGGGTCTCGCTGTATCTCATTACCTCCCAGAAGAATGGGAGTGTATGGCTGGCTGTTAGGAATGTGTTGTGGCACAACTTGAACAAGAGGTGGAGACCCTTGGGTGTCCTGTCGCGAGAAGATTCTCAAGCACTGCTCTTCTAGCAAGGAGATGGTCACAGACTGATTATTTACAAGATCGGTCAATGCTGCATATTTTACTTCAAGCTCTTTGTATTTTGTTGCCATCTTCAACATTTCTGTTGTAACATTAAGAACTTTGTTTTCCAGTTGGGAAAGCTCAAGTGAGTTATCACGTTTTCGAATAATCTCATGCAAGAGTTGCATATAGAGTTGGGTGACCCGAGAGTTCATGTTACGACTTTCCTTCCTCAGTAATTTTACTTCATTCACAATGTTTCCATCCACATCCACTACCAATTGCAAAATGTCAATCTCCCGCTTTTGCTTGGACAGCACATCCTTCAAGTTCTCTATGTCCATTCTTGTGACTTCATCTTTTCTGTTACCAGTACCTGGTCCATTAGTATTCACACAAATTGGCCCTGTAATTTTTTGTTCTGGGACCAAGAATGTGTAACCACATTTCTTCCCTTCCTCTCCACTGTCTGCTGAACGAGGGTGCCTCCGCTGAGATATTTTATTTGGTGTAGATTGTTCTGTACAGCGCCCAATAGACAACAGCAGGAACAGTAGTATACACAAAGTCCATTTAAATATCTTCATTTTAAAGCAAGTATGATGACTGTCAGAAGAGACTATTGAACAGATAAAAACCAAAATGATTAAATAACTAATGTTCCTGTACTGTTTAAGCTGCCTAAACTGATGGGTTTGCCATGCTTACATGTATATAGACAGGTCTTTGCAATCTGTTACTTGGAGTTAGATTCCATTAGATTAGCTTCAAAGAATAGGTCTCTGTTTTGAGCAGCAAACCCTAAAATTTTGGTACTGGATTTAGTAGAGAAGTTCTTGCAATGGATAAATTTTCAGAAACAATGTTCTGCTTATAGTCAGTATTATGCTTTCATTATAAATTCGACTGCAATTAAATGCACAAGGTTATAGAACATATAAAGTGCTCTCAGAATATCTTCATCAAAGGGAAGTAGAAAGACGATAGTATTTTCAAAAATGTATAAATATGGGAATTTATATAAGCCTTTCTGGTCCTCTTTTAACTTTATATATACATATGGATGTATAATTTGTTAAATACTATCTACATACCTATTCATACATACATACACTTTTCAAATTTATACATGGACGTAGCAGACTTGAAAAATACACACATATCTAGTGCTACTTTTGAACATTAGTGTTAGGCAGGAGGTTAGCATAAAATAATTGTCTTTAAATGGTGCAAAATTACATACTCAAGTAACTTCAAATTTGTAGGGAAAGCCTATAACACTGTTTGCTCTGCATGTGTTCCTAGTTAGTTGCCTTTGGAGATGAGCATTTAAAATTGTCACACTATTTTTGTATCTGTGAGAGTATTTTTATCCAAATAACATTGAAGTATCAGGTCTGTTATCACTATAAATATGATACTGAAGTGTTTTTTAAGAAAATAATGTATTTCTTTTAAATTTGTGTAAAAAATTAAAATGCAGTGATAAAGATTCAAGAATGATTTTAGAGACCTGTTTTTTAGTTTTATTTGCTAAATATTTGATATGATGACCAGAGTACCTAACGAGAAGAAAAAATTGAATCCAAAAAACACCAAACAAAAACCACCCAACCAACAAAAAAAAACACAGACCCTCATTTTGCATGTCTTATTTATTTGTCAAGCAGATTTCTGCTCTTATCTCAGCCACTAATCTCGCTTTCCTTTCCAGACTACTGTTAGCAGGCTTAGGAGACCTTGTACAGTGGCCTTTGTATAGTTACAAAAAGAAAAAAAATAAACCCACAGAAAGTTAGTTTTTGTGTTGTTCCTGCCAAATTCAAGTGCATTTGGCAATCCTGAAATAGTCACCTTGAGAGAGAAGCAGACCTATAACGCTTCCTTTACGTTCACATTTATAGATGTTATGGTGACTTTTATGTCAAGTCACTTCTCCCACTTTCTGGCTTTAATGTTATTGCTTCTAATGATGTCTTCTCAACCTTAGAGTCTTTATTTTTTGCTTCACTAAGGGCAGGGGTTACACAAACCATACTGTGCATGCAGGCAGGAATTATATCTAGTGATCTTGATCAAATGTTGCCTAAAAGATAACTTTTTCGCTGTTGTATCTCAAACCCTACTTCTGGTTGGTTAAGAAAACACTTGCTTTTAACACATACTGAAAATCATTTCTCACCCTCTATAAGTGGAGAGGATACATAAAAATGTTGATAGAGTTTGTATTTCTACAGTCACTTCTGTGTGGTTTTATTGTTAGCATGTAGTAGGAAGTATTTTGATGTCTACTAGTAATTTTTTTTTCCCAGAAACAGGTTAAAAGCTCTGTTACTATTTCTTGGCTGAAAATGGAAGTCCTGACTTGTTTGGTTTGGTTTGTTTTTTTTATTTTGGGTTTTTTTGGGGGGTTTGTTTTTTTTTTTAAGTAGGGGAAAGTATCACTTTTCTTCAGAACTATATTTTTCTTTTGTCATTTCATATATTTTAAAATACTAATCACTTGAACTATGTTCAGAGTAGAAAGTTCATTAGGTTAAATTTCGACATGAATCATGATAAATACATGGAAAACAGGTCTGTGTGGTTTCTGACTTGATAAGAATGAGCTGAACTACTTGTCTGAAGTTGATATTTCTTCACCTCAATTATTTTTCAGTATTCTTAAGTTCAGTGTTTGCAGATGCAGGAAAGTGACGTCATGGCATATGGTTAAGTTTGAAGCCGCAATACAAGTCCAGTATTTTACTATTTTCACAGTACGTATCAGCTACTTCATAGTCCAAAAAGATGAATAACACTATAGTTTTTGATAGTTTTTAAGGACCCTACACAGTTAGTTAAATAATGAATGGCTGGGGTTTTCCCACAGCAGCACATTTTTCCCTTGAAATACATTAAAACTAAATGAAGCATTTTGCAGTGTTGCCCACCTTCTGGCCATGTATTCTGCTGCAGTCTGCTTTCTGGATTTTTTTTAAATATTTTATGTCTTGATTTTGAACTTTTACACTTATGTATTGAATTTGGAAGTTCTGTATCTACATATGTGCCATAAAATTAATAAGAAGGTTCAACATAGCCTAACCAAATGCAACAGCTGCATAAGAACATGCCGTAGATCTTTGAAGTAATTTAAATATTTTAAACTGAGACATTCAGATAAGCAGGGATGAGTTCCTTCTGAGTGTCTACCTGGTAAGGGAACATGTGTGCTACCATGGAAATTCTGACGTTAAAAGAATTAAACATCTTACAATGTTGTTTGGTATGTTTGAGCAGCTTACTGCCTAACTTGTTATGCAAGAATAGGTTCTGAGGAAGATATTTACCTGGAGTTTTAATCAGCTTAGAAGGAAATGAAAATGCTGTTCAAAAAATTTCCTGATGTTCTGGGCAAGCAGCTTAAAAAAATATAAACTGTTTATCCAAAATATTACAGAATGATAGCCTAATACATGAGACCTAAAACTGACAAATATTTGAGTTGGGGAGCAGCACAAGGTGTTTTAATCCAATGCATTATGTCACATATGGCCAGGTTTATATGTTTAGGTAGTGTCATAACTGTAACAAGCTAAAGTGATTGAGACTCAAGAATTAGTTTAGACAGAACCACAGTCTCAAACCCTTCCTGCAAATCTAGAGTTACTTGTAGTGAGTGGGGCTGCTGAAATGCCTGAATGCAAACCTGGCAAAATAAGCAAGGGAGATTGTGATTATAGATACTATAGCTTTAAAATAATTATTTAACTCTTTATGAACTGTCATGGGTTTAAAATTAGAATAGGCTGTCACTTCACTTGGTTCTGTCATGTTTTTGTTACCCAGTTTTAGGTCACAGATTTCTGTAGAAGTTGCATTATATCTGTTCTGGCATGCTGATCTTTTATTGCTTGTGCAGGAGGAAATGTGCAGCTAGTCATAGCTATGCAAACTTCAGCATCTTGTCAGAAATATTCAGAGCTGTAGATAGGGCTTCAATACCATTTTATGTTTTAATACCATTCATTTTCTTCTGGTTTCTTTCTACTTCCAGACTGATCCCCATGAAAACACAAAACAAAAAAAATAAACAAAAAGAAAGGGGGGAGGGGGGGAACCCAACCTAACCTTGTTTCTAAAATTAGTCTTTATTACTTCTGAAAGTGTTTAAAGGAACAAAATTCCAATTTAAAATAGCAAAAACTGCTATAACATGGGCTGTGTTACCCCCAAACATATTGTATCACTTAATTATTTTGGTTGCAGGGATGAGGAAGTGTGGAAGCTATTAAATATTTGAAAGTTTTGTATTTTCTACTCAGCAAACTATTTGTTCTTTATTGTATACTGTGACTCTTGCATTCAGGAAGATGTAGAGTCTGGAGACCCACAACACATATTAGAATCTGTTCTTTCAGAGCTGACAAAGATGGGGCAGTATAGGTTGTTGTAACTGAATATAATGGAAGTGCTGCAAGTAAATGTGAATCCCTTTGTATGGAAAGCATATCTTTGTATATACTTAGGTATCTTTATTCAGGACATTTACTCAAAGAATATAGTCAAATGATAAATACCAGCAGTGCCCTCTATTATAAACCCCCATTTATGAACATGTAAAGCAGAAGGAGAAGCAAACAGGTTTTCTTAAGAAAGTAGATTAATAGTGTGAAAGATCCTTTGAACATGATACCAGTTAATCTGAAAACACTCTTGATTTTGGGCATACTTCATTTTCTGTTAAGTGTGTCTAAGCAGCTAAAAATCAATAGAACTGTCTATGTTTCCCTATCTCTGTACAGAGTAAGTGGAGATTTTTGTGGGCTTAGCTTAAAACTGGGTCCTTAATGTTAGAAGTAACACTGATATGGGGAAAACACTCTTATTGTAGGAGAAACGTTCACATGGATTTTTGATGTACCATGTACTTCAGTAAGTTACTTTTCCCTGTATAATCAAGTGTTTTTTTCCAGCACGTCACTCTACCTTTGCTGAAATAACAGTGTTACTTCTATTGTATTGACTGGGATCCAGGAATAGTATGTGCTTGGGTTTTGTTAGATACATGATACATTGAGTCACAGAATTCTGCTTCTTTGAGATTACAAGAATCTGATTCCTTCTAGGAAAGGCAATCTAAGCATCTTCAGGGGCTTTTGAAGTAGCCATTAAAAATATGTCATATTTTAAAATTAGGTGTGCTTAGAAATTCTCTGTAGAAAAGGTTTGTGAATCTTGCCATACTAGATATTCTGAAAACACAGAAAAATACCATAGCATTCCCAGCTTTTTGGTGAAGGTATTTTTATTTGAGGGTTCCTTTATATTTGTTTGCAGCCATTGTATGTATTTGCACCATTTTAACAGGCAGGTACAATGCAGTGTTGCATTTTGCATCCAGAAATGTGTTATTTAGGGGCTTCAGGAATCTCTGTAAATCATACTGAGGACATTAAGCATCTAGTGATGTTTGTTATAGGAAATTTTTACTTAATTCATTGGTATATAAATTTTAAGGACCCAGACTATTTCGGCATGTTACAAAAAAACAAACTAAGCCCAGTAAAACAATAATTAAGACCTGATAAAGTAATGTAGTTATTGGCAAAAGTTTAGAAGTTCAGAATTTCCATTCTTTGAGGTAAATTCCCGTAAAACTTGGCATAAAAAAATGGCATATTTTTACATCATACTTTAGGTCATTCTTATGGCAACAGCATAATGTTAGTATTGTGTTACTTGTTTTAAGATAAGCATTTCAAAATTCAAACTCTAAAGTTAGAAGACAGGGAAGGAGAGAGAGTTAGAACTTCGCACACAGTTTATTGCTTTAAAATTGACTCAGCTGTTCTCATTTGTGAAAGATTTGGGAATTGTTCTGAGCAGCATAAATCAAAACCTTGGCTAATCATGAATGGAGACTGGTGTCCAAGGCATACTATGTAAGCTTCAAATGGGATTTTTGTTGTTGTTGTTGTTTAGATTGTTCTTTTTAATGTGTAAAGAAGCACAAAAAGATACTAAGAAAAAGTGCTCAAGAACTTGGAAAAGATGCATCTTTCTTGTTTGTCAAGACTTTCAGACTTAGCTACTAAATCTTAATTAAGTCTGCTTTCTGTAACACTTTGTCTCTTCTTTTAGTACCACCCCTTCATTCTCGCTTAATGTGTCAGAGATTTCTGAGTTTGTTAATACAAATTTGTAACTTTAATTCTTTTCTATTGTTCTGTTAACCCTTATTTACCATGTTTTAATTTCCAAGTCAGCATGAATAAAGGCAAAAAGTAGGAGATTAAGTATTAGCAGTTCTGGGGTTTTTTTTCTGTAATTTTATCTTCTGTTTGTAAACAATATTTTCGTTTTAATCCTTTATGAGCCACTGCATCCTTTCCCTTTTCTTCCCCCATACCCTAAAAAACTGTGACAAAACTCTCTATTTTCCACTTAATATAGTGTTGCCTTTTACGTTGCATTTCATGTTTAAGAAATGAATCTTTATTTAGAAACAAACTGCTGTTCAAGTGAGGTATAATTAACTTCACCATAGTTCCACAAAATGTTAAAGGGAAAGATTAGTGCCTGTGCCTGTTGCAGCAATGTTTTTTGATTTTCAGCTGCATGATTGTTTCTGCTACAAACTTGGTTATATTCTGAATCACCATATGACTGCTTTCTTGATTGGTTGTACAACTCATACTACTTCTATTGCTCAGAACTATCATAAATAAAAATTTAGTGGAAATGATATGCAATAATTGCTACTTACAGATGTGCATTGATTTACTTGAGGCTTTTTACAGTGGTTTTATTGAGGTATCCATTTTCTAGTTCTAGTAATGCTAGGTCTGTGCTCTACTGTTGGGTGAAATCCAGCTTCCCTGAAATCGATAGGATTTTTGGCTTTACTTTCTGGTAGGATTAGAATTTCACATTAATACGTTCACAATACTCAGATTACATGCTTAGCAAAAGAATATGGTAGTATTAGTTTTCTGTAACATTAGATATCAAAATCTGTGGAAGGTTTACAGCTAAACAACTGCAATTTTTTCGTTCTTACAACTGGAGTGATTTAGTCTCTGCTGTTATGCAGAGTCCTTTTTAATTCTTTCCAAGTTTCCGAAGTCTACCAAATGCCACGAAAGTGAGTTTTGTATTTTAGTTGTCAGACTTCTCTTAAGATGAGAGAGATTTGTTTCTTCACATAGTTGTATGTTGAAGGAGAACTAGGTAGAATTCACAAACAGCTCAAAATTAAACTTGCAAGTAAGAATAACTTTAAAACTTACCAAGAAAAAAAGGCTTCCAGCTGTTTTGCTTCTGTGGTAGATGGAAAATCCAGAGGCCAAGTTGCTTTTTCTTCCTATATTACCCAGTGCTGTGGATTGTTAATCTGCAGTTGGAGTTGAAAACTGCTTTTGTCTTCCTCTGTTAGATCCAAGCTGTACTGAGGAATCGAGTTTCTCCATACAGTAACCAAGCTAACTAATCATTAAGAAGAAAAAAAAAAAAGAAAGGAAAAAGTAATGTTCCAGTGTGTGTTATTCCAGATGAGAGAAAGAAATGACTTTTGAAACTGCAGTGTTTTACTCTCACATGCAGGAGTGCGCTAACCAGCTACAGCTGACCCAGATTCCATATACATCACTTCTGGACAGTGTTTTTTTTAAACAAGCACACACTCAACTTAGACGTTCAGCCCACATATGATGTCACCGCCAACACACTGAGAGCAGGAGAAACTCCTCCTTCGGATTTCCTATCCATACCCTCCAGAAGAGGAGGGGGTAGGGAGGCTGAGAAGCTCTGAACAAGGAAAGATTGTTTGCTGGTAGAAGGGAGGGTACCATATGGCAACAGACTGTGCTAGAGTTCAGCAGGCAATTACAAATCAAACATTTTTACTACGCTGCCTAAAGATGCCTTTCAAGTTATTACAGTGCTGGGCTTCATTTAGAAGAAAGATTCTTTCAGGCTGATGAAACTCTATTTGTGTTGCTGGGAATAAAAGGGGTAGCCTGGCTGGATACAACAGGAAAAATGAACCATTTATAGTCTAGAAGAATGTTCAACAGAATGTCGCATTCAATTCTTGATGTTCACTTAATAAGAAACAGTTCCAGTTGTTAAATGCATGAAGTCTCCATACATGTGGAAAATCTTAAAACTGTGTGTGATGATTTTGGGTAGGTATCAGAATATTTGATAACATCTGACTGGTGTTAGAAGTAGCAAAAGCCACAGAGATTAGGCTCTGTGAGGAATGCTGAGTTCTGTCAATAGTCAGCCAGCACTTAAGTGTGTTTTTGTTTGGTTTGACTGATATTTTTACTTTCTTTACAAAGGATGTGAAAATTATGTTTGGAAGAGAATTATCCTAATATGCTTTCAAAATTACTTTGGACTTCACAGAAATGCATCAAATAAATATAAACAACAGCTTTCTACATAAGAGTTCCTGATGTAGCTAAAAGAACAAAAATCAGTGCTTAATTGAGCAAGCTATTCAGAAAGATAATCCTACAAATACATTGGCTTATAAAATCCTGCATAATATTGCAGGTGCCTCCTCACAATGAATTTCCTTAATTACAGTTAGTAAGCATGATTTACTTTCTGTAGAAAACTTGAGCGGGTTTGGGTTTTTTAAGGTCTGTTTGGACATGAAAATTAGGTTTGGGACAGTTTATGCAGTCTAGGTGGTGTAGCAATCGAGTGTGACTATCTGATATTTCTGATTATTCTTTCTGTTTTTTAAGTAAACTGATTCTAGCAGAACAGAAAAATGAGAAATGTAGTTCTATATCAGATCATGTGTAATACCTTTTTGTTCACTTTTTTTTTGTATGTCACCTTTCAACCACAAGTATTTTAATTTGTTTCTGTGTGTGTGCACACGCGTGTGTATGTGTTGATTTTGGAGTGATGCCCAGAGTTTCCCAGCTCACATTTTGAGAACTGTACTGGTTAGGTGCTATACAAACACAACTGCAGTTCTTGTGAGGTTGTATTAATAGCCTTCCACCTGTAAAGCTAAACTTCTTGTTACGACTTTGGTTATACAAGGCTGAGAGGTGAAGCAGAATATAATTTTAGAAATTCCCTGTTACTGAAATAAGTTTCTTAAAAATCTTAAAGTTTGCTTTGTTGTTGGGGGGGGGGTATTTTTTTAATATCTTGTGGAAGAGGCAGAGGATGAAGAGCAATTCCTTTTAATAGAGTTGGTCAGGATATGTTTCATTTAGCTGAGACAAAAATGATTGTCTTTCAGTGAATTTAAAGAAGTTGAGTTGCATTTGGATTTGAAATAAACAATTTGACTACAGCATTAGTATGTAAGGAGGAGGAGTTTCCTTTTGACATGATCAAAGGATTGAAAGAGTAGTATGGTTACAATGGTTGTAGGGAAGAAAGCAGATAGAAGACTTGAAGAGGCTTATCTATAAGGCTGTTGGATCTTTAGAGCTGCAGGATTTGTACCACATCTCAATGAGTGCACTTTTTGCATAGTTAATTTTTTGCATGTTGCTGCAAGTTGAGTTTAAGTTTCTATTCAGCCTGAAGGATTATCGATAATACGAATTTTCCTGCTGTTATTGATTGAATTGGAGGAATGAAATAATAGAGTTCCTAAAATCTTTAGCAATTCTGATGATGTATTTTAGCATTGTGCGTTTAGTATGCTTCATATTTGTCAAAGTAATAATTATTTGGTTATATAGCAGAAGATCTGCTTCATGAATAGTTGATCATGGCCTTGCAATTACTGTTAGATTTAGAAATAATTACACTGCTAGAGACAAAGTCAGCTAGTACATGCCGAGTGTGATGCAGGAAGAAAGGATCCTCTCTGCCTCCCACTGTGATTTAGTCATGCAGAGAATGAAAGCTTGCATACAGAAACCTAGCTGTACTTTACACCCTCAGTATCTGCAAATACAACTGAGACAAGTCTGAAAAAACTAAGGACTGAGTGATTGAGGAGAATGCAAATTCAATCCCAGACATGGGTGGCAAGGTGATGCACTTTCCTGTAGGTCCAAGCATTATTACTGTTTGAGGTCTGAAGGCTCTCGGAGATCTTCTGAAAATGATTTTTCAGGTAAATAATGAACTCTGTTCTGAAGCAGTGCTGTTGTCAACCTGCATGAGCATTCATCAGTGAAAGCAACAGTTCTTCAAAATATTGTTTGTGAGGCTTTTTTCTGCTAAATGTGAGACACTAAAGCTTTTCATTCTAATCTTATTCAGGTATTTACCTGTCAGACTTGACATATATTGACTCTGCCTACCCATCAACAGGGAGCATTCTGGAAAGCGAACAAAGAACAAATTTAATGAACAACATTCTTCGAATTATCTCAGACTTACAGCAGTCGTGTGAATATGGTAAGTTAGTATGTAAATATCTCAGTATTAAAGAGAACAACTTCAAAAGCTTTAATATTTGTTTTCTGTAATGCAGTGTAAGGAAGGCCTAACCCTTTTGAATGCCGTTAATGCTCTCCCTCACTCTCTCAGCCCAAAAGTCTTAAGTTTGTTCTGGTATTGCTGGTTACAACAGAGCATCAGTGTGAGGGAACAGAATAAAATTACCCTTCTGTTACACGCATTCTTGCAGTACATATTTTCTGATGAAAATGTGGAATATGTTGTTCTTAACAGTAGTTTTACAAGTACGTCGTTAACTTGTATCCCTGTGTTTCATGATATTATGACTCAGTGAGTTCTTAAAATACTAGGATTGCTTTTGGAGTAGTACTTTTACTAGAGATAACAAAATATGTTCGGCTTGTCTTTTGGGCATTTATAGTTCTGTTCATAGATCAGATAATGTATTTTTCCTTCAAAGGTGGTCTCATCACAATAGTTTTTTAGTAAGCCTGTATTTGTGATGGTGGAATGTGAATTAGCACAGGACTGTGGATTCACTAAAAGCTCAATATAATGATAATGCGGGCCATGAAGGAGTCCTCAGATACAACCCTTCAGGTTCCAGGTTTGGGCCTTTAGTTTGGCCAAAGGCACGCTGTCACTTTTCCCTTACATATGCTGTCTTAAGTAGAGCAGCTCAAGGGAGATACATACCTGGCTTTATGGATGTCGGCTCAATGCATGGGAATTGCTGTGAAAAATGGCAACATCAGTGGGGACTGTAGTTTGTATCTCCATCTCACATAAAAGGGCAAGAGATCTGATTCTTTTAAAATAATTTCTGGAAAATATGCTTACCAATGAATGGGGCAGTGATAATGAATGTCATATGTTCTCCAGATATTCCTCTGTTGCCTCATGTCCAAAAATATTTGAACTCAGTTCAGTACATAGAAGAACTGCAAAAGTTTGTAGAAGATGACAATTACAAGTAAGTATGAAATGCTGTAACTGACTGTAGCTCATCATAAAGTAACTTTTTTAACAGAAAGGCGGTAATTTTTAAGATTGCACTTGTACCAGGGGATTATGTGTCTCAGATGCACCAGTTGCAAGTAGGGAGGTTACAGCAGGGTCCTGTGCTCAAGACAGTTTTCAGCATGCTGGATGGCATATCTCCTTCCTTTTCTATGCCTGACTGCATTAAGCCCTGGCTTTCAGGTCTGTTTGCTCTGTTGGTTTGATCTGCAGATCTCTTTCAGTGTTCACTAATGAAGACTGCGTACTTCCAGCTCACATGTAACACTTTTCAGTCAGTAAGATGGATCCCATGATTGGAGATAGCTTGGGTCATTTCTCATCCTAATAAAGTCATCTGTGTGTTCCAGTCCCAAGTTGTTACTGAGGGTGACTTAAGGCTTTCACTTTCATATGTATTTTGCTTCCATTTTATGTTTTTTCTCCTTGATTGGGTTATACAGTGTTAGTAAAATATAAGCACTTGATTTTTGAGAGGCGAATTACCATCCGTGTCCCCACCCCATTCCTTCCATCATACCACCCAAAAAAGAGGTTTCTACTTCCTTAATTAGAAGATTATTACTGCATTAAGTGATTTGGCATCCAGCAAAACTGGGAGATGTAAATCTCTGGCAAGAGACAGGAACAAGCCCTAAGGATAGGAAAAAAACTAAAAAATCTGTTGCATATGAAGAAAGTTTTTGTTCATTGGTTGATCTCCTTGAGGAGGTTCCCCACCCATTCCCATCCTGCCTGCCTGAGAAGTTTGTCACCTCACTTGTGTTGAATTGGTTGCTTGTGTAGCTACGTTCAAATGGTGGGAGGGCTACGCACGCTAGAGGAACAGATATGCTTTACCATTTAATACCTTGAATTTACAAAAAGGCAGCAAATGGGGACCTTTTAGTTTCTATCAAAGAAAGTTAACAGGGGCTCAGACACTTAGCTTCCCTTCTAAGATTTGTAAATTTTTCTCTGCATGTACATATGCAAGCATCCAGCTTTACCTTTTTGCTAAAATGTTCTGTACCCTGATTTTGGGGAGGGAGAGGAGCTGTCAGATTTTAAACTTTTTCTCCCCAAAATAAAGTAGATGGTTTTCCCAACTCACTAATTTCAAAGATTCTAGTTGTGTGAACTGTGTGGACAAGGTATGCTTGATCTTCTGGGAGTTCTTTGCTCCTGGACTCTGTCCTCTTTGTGGTGCTGTTGGCAATGGCATTAAAAGTGCCTGTTTAAGAAAAGCTTGAATTATGGATGCAGTCAAGTTAATGGATTTTCCAAAATGCAAAGAAAGGATTTTGGCTTTTAGACCAGT